GAATGGATTCACTTTATTTTGTAACTAAATACTTATCAGTAAGATATATTCCTCTGCACTAGAATTTTTTAATTATCATATGATTTTTTTTTTCTGTTGCATTAAGTTTAAACTGAAAACTATTCATTCCTTATCTCCCTATTTAACACCACCACTCTGGATAACCATTAAAAATTGCTTCCTCTCTATATGTCCTTGAAAGAAATAGCCTTATGTTATGTTTGACGGGTCAATCTGACAATCTCCAGAGAAAAAAGTCAAGTTAGAAAAAAGGAATGTGTAAGATATGTAATTTGCAATCAATATATTCTCTCTTAATTTTTCTAGTTCCCATATACTTTTTTTCTTTATCAACATTTTAGTCATGCCTCATCTCCCATTAAACCAGAGTTTGAAAATAATTAAGAACAAAACAAAGGTGTTCTGTTTGTATATATTTGCATACACATTGATCCATCTTCACATACATAACCTCACTTCTCCTGGCTCCTTCTCCAGGAATAACTGGATCTCAATTCTCTGCCCTTGTGTCCTTCAGTAGTTTTGGAAGGTCCCACCAAAGATCCCATAAAAGGATATGAAGCTGAAGGTCACCCAGCATTGCCATCTTCTTTCCCTACTTCAGCTTCTTCTGATCACATTCAGAGGTTATAATATTCTGTAATCTTGGTGGTGTGCTGCGATTCATGGGGTCGCAAAGAGTCAGACGTGACTGAGCGACTGAACTGATCTGAACGGAACTGAATCTTGATGGGAATGCCTTCCACCCATCAGCAGAAAGAAGAGAACTAATCCCAGATGTTCTCAGTACTTACTGTCATCAGGATGGGCTTCGTCCCCTCTCCTCCTTGTCTCCTCTCTTCCTGCTGAAAAATATTAAATATGCTTATTTAAATTAGAGAAGATAGAATGTTGATAGCCTTTAGGGGTTGTGTAATATTTTCACAAAGTCTTACAGCTTACAACCTGATAGGGAGCTACAGCCTCATAGAGTTATGTTCACCTCAAAGAGAAGAAAACCCAGGAATTGATTATCTTATTTCCTCAAGTTCTCTGAGTTAACCTGGGAATGAAGTGGTTTATAAAATAAGTATTTCTTAATGTATTTTGTTATAGGGCAGTCTCCAAAGTCCCCAACCTAAAAAACTCATACCTGTTCATTATTTAGCTGCCCCCGCCCCATCATCTGTTTATACAATCCTCTCAATCTCAAGCATGAGGTTTTTAAAAGCATCAGAAGTTTTGAAGACTATTTTCTGCTTCATTCAGTTACATTTTCTGCCGAACGATAAAACAGTATTAACTATCTCAAGGGCATTTACTTTAGAATTAACAATACTCCCACATAGACATCTCTCTGTCAGTTTTTAATTATTTGTAAATGCAGTGCGTAATTTCCATTTTCTTGCATACACACGGTTTTTTAAAAAGTTAATAAGTTGATGTCCTCCTTTGCCCTACTTCTAAGACAGGCAAAATACACACATTTTGGTTATTATTGAATTTGAAAGTTATACTTAGAACCACAAGTCTTTGTGTTTTTCATCTGTATGACCTTGAGTAAAGTTGCTTATCTGTAGTCCCAATGAGTCAGACACAACTGAGCAAGCAAATTCTACCTCTGCGACTGAAGTGATAAATGACGCCTATAATGAGTTATATGTATAAACTGTCGAGCACAATGCAACACATATTGTAGAAACTCAGCAAATGATAGCCGTTGTCTTCCTCAAGCACAACTTTAACTTCTAACTCTTTAGATAAATTCCTGCATTTGTCTCTGCCTTAGTTCTCATTCGCATTTGACTTTACATTCATGGCTTCATGTAGATGCTGTTAACTGAAATAAAAACAAACAAAGGGAGAGTTGTGAGTTTCAGTTTTATTTAGGACCTTGCTGAGAACTGTAGCTTGGGAGACAGCCTCTCAGCTCCAAAGAACTGCTCCCAAGGGCAAGGCTGGGATGTCAGTATCTACTTTATTTTGAGAAAGGGAGTATGTGCAACCAAGCACGCATCTCCATAGAAGCTTGCTGCTAGTCACGAGAAACAGATAACATAGTTAATGGTTTTAGTGTTTTTTCTAAGTATGTCAAGATGCAAGAATTCAGGTTCATAAAATTTTCTCGTGGAAATATTAACATCTAACTATGTGAAGGCCTGTTCTGCCAGTTTTCCCGGAGTACAGGGTGCCTCAGCTCTCTACCCTGAACTCCTTTCAGAATATGTTAAAGGTTAGCGTTGGCTAATGACTAAATCCTTTTAGAGTCTGATGGCTAGTGACATGCTTCAACTGGCAGTGCTTAAAATCTCTCTATTGTGTCTTAGAATAAGAAATCCATATGTATGATTTTCATTCTCATTTTTGGCAGAGGGTTCCAAAAACCTTGGGAATTTCCTAAGTGGTAAGAATGATGAAGTTGTCTTAACATTTATAACATATCACCTTGAACCACACCTGTGATCCTAGCTACCTCCTTCCACCCTCATGGGTCTGTTCATCTTGTTCCACATACATTTTGAAATATATTTTGTGTGTTACCATATATTTTATCTTTTACATTTGCTTGTTGTATTTATCTCTTGCTAGAATGTCAGCTCTTCAAAGGCAGACATCTTTGTTTTATCCACCGATGTATCACAGACATCCAGAACAGTGCCTGGCACAGAGCAGACAGTACTTCTTACCAAATGAATGCATGAATGAATGAGTGAGATTATCTGAAGTAAATTGATTTGGACAAGTTTAATGCATTAACGTTTTGTTGGGGGAGAAGGGAAGTTTGTTACTACTCCTATTTCTATGCGTGGTTGGAATACAGAAGGGAAAAGAAAATCTTAACAGTTATCAGCCTTTGTGCATATAAAGCCAAATGACTGAATGGTAGACCAAAGTTGACTGCTTGTTTGGACATTGCTAAAAATAATAATGTAAGGAAAAGTAAGCTATTTGATCTCTACCCATTCTCCCCTTGCTATAGCTAAAATTGTTATAAAAGCACATAATACACACTTGTCTTTTTTTAAGAACTTAGTTAATTGAATTCAATGAACCAAAAATACTCACAGTGAAAACCATCAACATTTATATGTAAAACAAAATCTGTTTTTGTCTGACTTAAAGGGGATGTAGCTGGGGGCTAAAGGATTATAAACAAGTAAAGAGAATGATCTGACATTGCTTTTCTTGCCATGCGAAAGCTTTCTGAACTCTGAAATGACAGTATTTGGAAAATTCATTACATGATGGTAAAGTGTGACAGGTTGAAGAGTTTAAATTGAGTAACAGAAGCAAACCCTAACATATCATACATGAGATTACTGTGGAAACAGCAGAGTAAAAGCTGAATTCTGTAACAGAGCTGTACTTTTTAGGAAACAACATTTTCTGTCCTCAGAGACTTGGAAGGCTGTTTATAGATTGATTAGCATGGAAAGAGTAAGTTTTTCACCAAAAGGTGATATGCAATTTTTGTATAGAAATATGTCTGACTGAGAATATATAATCAAGAAATGGTGGGTTTGAAAAAGAATAGGATGTGAAGGAAGAAAAAAAGATATATATATATATATATATGTATATATGTATATAGTAAAGAACCAGTGATTACCTGATAAAGTTCTGAAGGAATGTTGTCTTATGTCCAGTATTACCTGAGACTTCCCTGGTGGCTTAGCAGTAAAGAATCTGCCTGCAATGCAGAAGACTCTGGTTTGACCCCTGGGTCGGGAAGATCCCCTGGAAGAGGGCATGGCAACCCAGTCCAATATGCTTGCCTTATGGACAGAGGAGCCTGGTGGGCTGCAGTCTGTAGAGTTGCATAGAGTCAGACACAACTGAAGCAACTAAGCAGCAATATTAACTTGGGAACAACTGCAAAACTGAACAGTGGTTGACCTGTTAATAGAACCCAGACCAGCTCTTTGATGTCCAGGGGTAGCTGATATATGAGTGTGTGTACGCATGTATATGAAAAACACACATTCATACATATAACAAATTCAGTGTATGTGTATACAAAGAATACAAAGAAGATTCTTGATCAAAAGTACTAACATTGCTATTCAGCTCTTGGTATCAAATTTTCCATTAGTGATGGCTAATTCCTTTTTTTGCTGAATGACTTTGGAAGCAGAGGATCCTTTCTAATAATGGGGCTATTCCTGGGATTGTATGTCCTCCTAAGACACTCAATTACATATTGTAAGACCTCTTTTTAAATATGTTACCTTTGTCAGCTGAATTCCTTCTGTGACTGCAGGCAGCATTAAAGTGCTGGGCAGGCTGTAAGAAAGGAAGAGAATGGAGTGATTAAAGGGAAAAAAGAAAAATTGAGGGGTGGTCAGGCAGACTTCTGTTGATTTCTCAATTTTGCCTTTTCACAGATCAAAGAAGGTTCTGCCAAATTGTTCACTACAACTTAGTGTATTCATTATATATTTTTGATGCATAACTCCAAGTATGGGTTTCAAAAGATGCATTTGTGTGCAACAAATGCATCACATTTTAATGACTGAGGAAATTAAATATTGTCAAATGCTTGGTTGTTCCCAGATTATTCCATTAATTATGATAGGTATTTCTGCTGTGGCATGTGAGTGTTAGAAAACCTATTGAATTTGTCTGTAAATAGATTTGAAATGATCTGTGTATGTTCTGTTGGTAATTCCCAGGGAGAACAAAGTATTCGTGTGTTTCAGAGATGTGAAAGGAAAAAAACACTTTAATTGTCCAGAAATCATCCTTTGCATTAAAATATCTAGGTTGTTTTATTCCTCATGACTGCAGGAAATATCTGATGAAAACTCTGTTGACATAGGTCAGATAAATAAATGGAAATAAATTCTGTCATGGAGAATGTGAAAGTCATCAACTTTAGTCCCACACAGTTCTCAAGCTTACTGGGGTTTTGGTTTGTTTTAGTGGCTTATATTCTTTTTTTTATTTTTAATTGAAGGATAACTGCTTTAAAATGTTGTGTTGGTTTTTGTCATACAACAATGGGAATCAGCCGTAGGTGTACACATATCTCCTCCCTCTTGACCATCCCTCCTACCTCCCACCCAACCCAACCCCCCAAGGCCTCAACGGGGCCCGGGCCGAACAAGCAACAACCTCCCAACGGGTAACCAACTTAAAACTGAGAAGGGGGGCAAGGCAAGGCCAACCCTTCAAGTAACCCCCCCCCCAGACTGGTCCCCATTTTATTTTCAATTGATACTTTTCTACTTCACCCTCAGGATGGCCCTAGTCTGCATTTCTGTTACTCTGAATAGTCCTCCAGATTGTGGCAAGATTTGTAACACTGAATTACAATGCAATTTGGTATCCGGTAGGTGAATTTTTAAAACTGTGTTCTTTGCTGGTTTGCCAGAGTTTATTTGACGCCAGCAGGGAAAATTGCTTAGAAGCTAGGATTACATTATAGCCTGTTTCGACAGATGGAACTTTAAAAGCCAGTCAGATTGCAAGCCATATTTGTATTATGTTGAATAATATATTTAATTATATCAGCGCTTTTTCACACCTTAAATTTGGTGGATCCCAAAATATTTCATGAAAATGAGGAGAAAGAAGATACTCACGTTCCTCATATAAACCACATAAATTATATAGAATGTGTTGGTTCTCTTCAGTACCAATGCCTTCAGCATATAGGTGTGTATACTTAGAAGCAGGTATGTTTCATGCATCTTCTACGTAACATTTATGTCATGGCCAAATCTAATATGTTTAGCCTCTCTGTCTCTCACTCATCCTCTCCCCGGCTTCTTTCCTCCTGTTCAATGAGCACACATATGTGTACTTTGGCAGTTAGAAGATAAAAACCTGATCTATTTTTGTTCTTCTGTCTTTGTCCCTGCTAGTCCTTTACTCATCTCTGTTTTTTAAAACTCTGCCTGTACTTCAAGACCTAAGAGGCATAATACATTCTGACTGCTTGGATCCCAATGCAAAATCCACCAACAGATGGGATTTGTGATTTGGAGCAAGTGACCTAACTCTCTAAACTTGTGTCTGCTTCTGGAAAAGGTTGATGGTAATAGTACATACCTCCCTGGGCAGATGTGATTGTATTAAAATAATCCCTTTAAAGCACTGTGCACAATACCTGTCATGTAGGAAGTGCTTAAACAAAGCAAGCTGAGCTATATCATCTCCATGGAGCCGTTTTTATCCCTGTGTATTAATCTCTTCCCCTCAAGTGACCTCATAGGGCTCAACCACTGAAAAGCTCTTATCGAGCTGTGTTCTCTCGTCCGCTGTCTTGTATGCATGCCTATCTTTTGAGTTCTGAACATTGTAGAGCTCCTACACTGCAGATGCTAGGTTAGATGCTGAGAAGGTGGGGAGTGAAAACAGAGGCCAGGAACCCCTGCTTCCCTTCCACCTGGAGAAGACAGTTAATAAAGAAACTAGTAATATAAATGGCATAAGTGAGATGGTGAAAAGAGTCAGGAAAGAAAGAAAGGAGATGATGTACTGTCACTGTTTTGGTTTATATGCTCAGAGCTCTAGAGGGAGACCAAGTCACTGCTTTGGAGTTTCTTTCAAAGGGCCCCAACTGCCCACATCTGAGGCCATAGGCATCTTATAAAATTGGCTACAGCTCTATGTTCTAGCAGAGAGAACCTTTCTTGGAGCTCCTTCCTACTTTTCATTCAAATTCATTTGCTCTTATCAGATTTAAACCCCTTTTCCTCTTGTACCTGATCACTCTGTTGTGTGTTTCATTCCACTTTAAGGCCACAGATTTCAGGTTCATCCCTTGAGACTATCATTAACTTGGACCTCTCTTTATGATTCCATTTGCGATAGCCTATAAGCAGGCAGACAGAGCCAGGACATCTGTTCCTGTGCCCTGCTCCCCAATTGGTGTTTCTCCTTGCCAGGGACGGAAGAGTAGATAGGAACCCCCTAAGGGTAAGTTCTAATTATCTCCCCAAAGAGAAGAACTTGAGCAGAGAGACGCTCAACAACAGTACAAGCTGTCATTGCTGATTTTTGTTGTAGGGATTGAAGAGGGTTCAGCGACACTTGTCCTCATAATACAATAGGAAAAATGTCTCCTTTGGACAAATCTCTCCACAGCCCTGTTTACCACCAGCTGCAGAGATTTTGGTTTCTAGTATGTTTACCATCTTATGAACTCTACATCTTGAACCTCTCTTGAATCTTAGAGTTAAGGATGAATGTTGATGGCAAAGGAAAATTACACCCATCTTGCCATCCTCATTTTGTCCATCTGTCTCTTGTCCATCTGTCCATTCATTCTTCTGTCTACCACTCAATTCAAGAACATAACTATATTTGTTCACTGTTCTGCAAAACACCTGTGTCTAAACCTGAGAAGACAAGGCAAAGGTGAAATTGGATTTCCCAGATGAATCCATGAATTTAACTCACCATGGCCTCTGTGATTTGTCTGTGAGAGAGTCTCAGAAATGAGAACCTTTGAGCTCTTTGATCAGCGTCATTGAAAATGGACCCAGCCTCAGTGGGGCAAACCCTTAAAAAAACTGGCCTGGTATTTCTGTCTGGGCTATTTGTCAATGCTATGTGAAGGGACAGACACAGTGCTTCTTCCTGACGGAGAGAAAAACAGCCAATCCCTCATTTTGTATTTTGCAAACATCTGGTATGACTCTGCTTGTTGCCAAGACACAGACTTTGTGAATCAATGCCTCCTTTCCCAGTTAAGTATTCAAAAAGCATTTGCTTAAACTAAGTCGCAAAGAAACTACTTTTAAAGATAGGTGGTAGAGGTGTTCTATTGTATTGAAAGCATTTGATTAAATAGATTTGAGAGCCACCACTAAATTAACAAAAACTGGCACACTTCACCCAATTTTCTTTCTTATTTTTTGACATGAAAATTGCTCAGACTTCAAGTCTAGTCTGTGTGAAAGCATTAAGTGTTTCAGAAATCAACGTGTCTTGTCAATCTATTGTGCTCTAGGGGAAAAGTAAAGCCGACTTGTGACATTATTTCCTTGTGTTCTAGAAACCTGATAATACCTTATTGTACATCAGGAGTATAAGCAGGCGTCGTTGTAAAGAGATTCTTGTGACAAGATCTATGAAGAATATTGTGTTATTAACTTGGACGTCTGCATTTACAATATAGCTTTTCCAAGACAATTTTTGTTGGGCTACAGGTGGTTATTTAAGACAATCAATTTACATAGAACAATTTATTCTTTTTTCATGCTGTTAAAGCAAATTGGTATGTAATTAGATTTATATACTGAATAATCTCATTTGCATATCCAATTAATTCTTCCTGTTTTAATTTGCCAGGGTTGAATTCACATTAGTAGTAAAAATAGCACTTAAATTATCAAGGACTCAAATTTTCCTTTGCTGTGATTTGTTCAAGATGTTCCATTTAAAAATTGGTCCCCAGCATTCTTTTCATTGTCTACTGGGGATATATGAAAGACTTTAGTTACAAATACCCTTAGCCAAAAAATCACAAAGTTGAGGTTTGCCTCTTGTTCATAGTGCACAGAGAACTGGATATGTATAAAACCAGTTCCTGCCTTAAAATACAATATTATTCAAAACCAGGAGCAATCATATCAGGAACAAAACAGACAGGATGTTTTCATCCTCTAACCTCTTTTCACATTCAGAGTATGTTTAAACACAGAGACATATACATGCAAAAACGACATCTCTTCCAAAAATGGTTTATACTTATTCTTCAGTTGTATCATTACAACTCCTGTGGTGCATCTCTGTCGTAGAAAATGTATGACTCAGGGATTCAGACAAACCAGGGCCTAATGTTTCTTTTCTGTTTTTGCCGACTTTGATATTAAGCAGCTGACTTTATCTGAGAAGCAGTGTCCTCATCTGTAAAAAATAAAAGTATGATATGTAATATAGCTTCTAGAATTACTGTGATTTCATATGATGTAGCATATGAAGGTATCTGCTCGGATGGAACTGGCAATAGGAGATACTTTCTATGGACTTTCCTGGTGGTCCAGTAGTTAAGAATTTGCTTTCCAGTGTAGAGGATGCAGGTTCAACCCCAGTCTGTAAGATAAGATCCCATATGCCAAGGGTCAACTAAGCCCACGTGCTGCAACCAAAACCCCATGCAGCCAAATAAATAATTTTTTTTTTTAAGATGCTTGTAAACAGTTGTGCTTGGTCTGTGAAAAGAGACACAAACACTGTTAAAATGAAAGTTCGATTTCTAGGACTCAGTAATATTTTTATTAAACTCAGTGAACATTTACTAATCATTTTTATTAATACAGCTAAATACTGGGTTCAAATATTGCCTGAGAATTTTGTGTAAGTCCCTTTGCCTGGCTTGCTGCAGTTCACGGGGTCACAGAGAGTCGGACACAACTTAGTGACTGAACAACAGCAACAGCTTTGTCAATGTTTCAGTTTCTCTTTGTCAGTTAGGAATAATAAAGAGCACCTACCTCATTCAATGGGAGTCAGAATGATAGAGGTAAGTACATGTTGAACCCTTGAGATATCCTCTCGCAAAAAGTAAGCACTCAGTAAAAGTTAACCATTGCTACCATCGTTACCCTCTTGAAAGAACATGTACACTTAGCAAAGTTTCTTCATCATTTTCTCTTATCACGTGTATTCGTTTACAGGGGCTGCCATACCAAAGTACTACATACTGGGCGGTTTAAATAACAGGAATTTATTGTCCCGCATTTTTGGAGGCTGAAAGTTCAAGATAAAGGCTAGGCTGGTTTGGTTTCTCCTGAAGCCTCTCTCCTTGACTTTCAAAGAGCTGCCTTCTTGCTATATTTCCTCTGTGTATGAGCAAAGGTACTCTCATTTTAAGGCTATCAGTCAGTTGCATTCAGGCCTCATTTTAATTTAATCACATCTTTAAAGGCCCTATCACCAAGTCAGTCACCATCTGTGGTTATGGGGGTTATAGCTTCAATCTTGGGCTTTCCTGGTGGCTCAGATGGTAAGGAACCTGCTTACAATGCAGGAGACCCGAGTTTCATCCCTGAGTTGGCGAAGATCCCCTGGAGAAGGGAGTGGCTACCCACTCCAGTATTCTTGCCTGAAGAATTAGCATCCATGACTCATTGGACATGAATCTGAGCAAGCTCTAGAAGATGGTGAAGGATGGGGAAGCTGGTGTGCTGTAGTCCATGGGGTTGAAAAGAGTCAGACACAACTTAGTAACTGAATAACAAAAGCTTCAATCCTATGAATTTGGGAGAAACATAATTCAGCCCATAACACTAAGATTGAACTTGACCTACATATGGCAGCTATCCTGATATGCCCTGTCTTTAGGACTCATACCAGGAAAGGAGCATACCTTTTATCCTG